ATTTCAGTCGGTGTATGCTTAATTTCTAGTTGGTTCTTTATCACAACATCGAGGGTCTCATTAGATTTCTCGAGGATCTCATTAAGTTTATCGGCGGCTTCTAGACAGTTCTTGAGAGACCTTAAAAGTGTGGTTCTGAACTCAATATCCTCCATTGACAGTTTTGTCCTGTTTCTTTGTCTCTGCATTTTTTATGCTTTCTTGGTGCACCCCCTAGTGGTCTTTGTGCGCAGTCTTGTTGTAGTTAAGCCTTGATTCTTGTCGGGGGTGATTTGACCTCCAGGCTAACTGGCTATCCTGCTCAATGGTTTTTGACTTTTCTGTTTGATATTAGAAGATGAAGCAGGCCTGGCTATCCTTTCAGATGTGATGCTTCTTGATACTGTCTTACTTCTTTTAACTTCCTGAGAAGAAATGGTTTTGACACTAGATAAAACTATTTAATTGTAGTAATTCTTTCTCATGAGACCCCTTCCGAATGTAACATTGGCAATGCCTTGTTTCAGGGAGTCCTGGGTATTATGAGTAACACTGTGGTGACTTCTAATAGGAGGACATAAAACATGTTTCTTCTGCGATGTAGCCCTCACAAATTTAGTCGTTGTCATCATAAATTTAGTTGTAGTCATCATATTTGAGGCTCAGTGACTTTTTGCTGTTACACTGCTGGTGTGAGAGGCTGAGGTTTTGTGGCCTTAGAGGTAGGAGTTGAAAGTTTCTTTGTTATTGCAGAATGCTCATCTTTGACTTGTACAGGTTTTCTAAATGAATGAGCCTTAGAGTGAACAATTTCACCACGATAAGATTTCTTGAGCACGTTAGCATCTTGCTTTGGTTTTTCTGTAGTCACTTATTTCTTTTTATTATTGTTTTTAATGTGAAACGCTTGGCTTAATGTCATACGTTGACCTTGGCGATCATTTGTAATTGGTAACAACTGCAGAGTTTGATTATTCTCCAAGTTATATGTATCAGTGGCTACAGTTGAATTGGTTAATTCATTAGAAGGTTTTAATGGAATACAATTTTTTCCCATTGTTACATTATTTTTGCTCCTTGTAGGTCTATGGACATTTTCTTTATCAGCCATTTTTGTCTTAAGTTTCAGAACTTTTGTCTCTTCTTGGACCAGACCCTCAGATGCCATCATTCCCTCGTTTCTACTGGAGAATTTCTGATTTTCCTGTTTGTATGCAAAAAGAGTTTTTCTTTTTAACAGATGCTCCTTGAGTTTTTGTTTTCTCGCTCTCTGAAGGCGACTGGGCCCTCTGACTCGGGGGAGCTGCGGGTCTCCTGGAACCCTGAGGTCTGATTCTAGCAGTAAGCCTTCCAGGAAAATCCTCTCCTGCTGCCGGCCTCAACTCTCAAATTGTAGCTTTAATTTTGTATTTTTCTTTTCCTTGAGTCAAGTTTTAGAGATGAGCATAGAGTCTGTGAGAGAAAATATTTCAGAAAGGTGGAAATTTCACTGAATCTGGGATAGCCCTAAAAAGTACCAGTTATTATAAATAAGGGCTAAAGGGCCAGCTTAGTATAGTGGAAAGAGCCCTGATCCCAACTCGAGACAAACACAGCACTCCTTACTGCCTTCAGACACGTTATAAATTTCATTTACTGCAGCATAACCAACCGGTCCGTGTGGCTAGTCATCACATCTGCAGACCCTTGTTTCAGCCGTAGAAGCTCCATTAGCACATGGTCATTTTTTTCCATTGCCTTTAAAATTATCTGGAAAGAAATATTTTGCACCCTTGGGGACTCCTGTCTGTTACAGTTTATGAAGATGGAGCTGGGATAGGAAAGAAGCAAGGGCCCATTTTGTGGTTCAGATGCATTAGAGAGCTGGTGGGATAATGGAAGAGGAGGCCACTTGTCTGTACTCAGTTGCCTGAGGGCAATGGCTGATTACAGTCTGAGGCCTGGCTCCATTTTCCGGGTGGGATGAAAGCACATACTGTGAAGCCTAACGAGGGGGCTGGGAGACCCCATAGTAAGTTCAAGGTGGGTGCCTCAGGTGGATGTTACAGTCAGCGTTTCACTGGTCAGTCTTCAATAAAATCACGCGTGGTTGATGCAGCTGTTCTGAATGTTTTGATGGTATTTTCTTTGTGATCATTGCTGTTATACAGAAATATTCTTGATTTTATGTTTGTGTATGTTGTCTGTATTTCTTCCTCTGGTGGACATGTCACCAGAAAGGAACCTGGCCCGGAGCAGGTCTGCCTTGGGCTGGCTGGTAGTGGTGGGTTCTTGACTTCGTGCAGGAAGGATTTCACAGTAAGAGTTCAGGTGATTTTGAGAGTAGATGTATTACAGTTGGGGACAGTGAAACAAAGAAAGAGCCTAGGATAGAAGCAGCAGCAGAAGGGAGCCTAGGCAGTGCTCTGCTTCGGCTCCTTAGAAACATTATGGGAAAGAAGTGGGCCACGCTGGGCTGTGCGGACTCACTGAGAAATAAAAGCCACAGTGGCAGAAGTGAGCTGAGATGGGGATGCGATCAGCTTAAAGGGGCCTTGGACACAGGTTCAGGGGGTTAGCCTGGGACAAGCTGCCACTGCCTGCTGCTCCCCTGGTTGCCAGGCTCTTGGAGACCCTTAGAGTTTGGGAGAGAAAAGTACAGATGCACACCTCAGGGGGAAGAAAGGCAAGTGCGTGCTCCAGAGAGAGCCCGCACTGGCTTGTCTTAGGGGTTCTTAACCTGTTTCTAAAAGGGATTTTGGCAGGGCACATGCTCAGGTTGCCGACTTGATCTCCAGTCATGCAGGAGGTAGCCAATCAATGATTCTCTCTCATCATTGATGTTTCTATCTCCCTCTCCCTCTCTAAAATCAATAAAAATATATTTTAAAAAATAATTGTTTAATGTTATGTTGAGAATATTTTACATAAGGAAAGTCATTTACAAATCCCATTTTGTGCCCAAATTTTTCTAAAATTTGTATGGATATTTGATACATGTGATAGATATAAAGTATAGGAAGGCTTAATAATAAAATGAACCACCAACCACCTAATTTAAGAACTATATTAGGTTCAAGACCATCTCTACCACCACCTTAGACAAGTGGCTTAAGCTCTCTAAGCCTGTTTCCTCATCTGAATAAGAACACTAGTTCCCGCTTCATCGTGTAGCCATGAGGGAGAAATGGTAGGATACCTTTCGGCCAGCCCACGATGGCCCTATCTCTGAGATCTAACCCCTGACCCCCAGAGCTGTTCCCTGCTGCTGTATAGCTGCTCCTTGAGGCTGCACCTGGGAAATGTAGGTGATATAAAATGTAGCACATCATTAGTAGATGAGTGGATAAAAAAGTTGAGGTTCATTTATACCATGCAATACTATGCAGAAGTAAAAAAGAAGGATCTCTTACCCTTTGAGACAGTATGGAGGGACCTGGAGAGTATTATACTAAGCATAATAAGTCATAGAAAGACAAGTATCAAAAAAAGGAAAATAAGGACATATGTAATTCTTTTACCATTCTGCGCTCTCACTGGGCGGTCCGCTCCCTCTCTGTGGAGGAAGCCAGAGGCTTAAACCGAGCTCGGACGAGCATCTGTGTGTGAGTCAGTTCTGGCAGCCTACGGGTCTCTCACCTAAGAGGCCCCAAAGGCCCGAAGGGGAAGGAAGGGAGCCTAGCCCCCGGGCCGAGGGATGATGGAGGGCTGCCCACCATCACACTTGACTGACTCGGTAGAAGACAAACCCTGTCATGCGGTTTTTTGTTTTTTGAAAAAAATAAACCTCAGTGGATCTTTTCCAAAGATACGGCTTCTAGAAAATGGTGGTTCCTGTACTTTTTATAAAAGTTCAGAAAAGAATATTCCCACAAAAATAACGACTGTTCATGAACATGATCCATCTCTGTGGCTGGACAGTCTGTGCCGGCCTCTGGGAACAGTCATCAGCCTGACAGAAAGGCTTGAGAACACCCCGTGCCCCGCTCCACCTTCTCATCCCCACTGCTGTCCCCTTCGCTCCCCCGGGGTCTGCTGGCCCCCCTGCATCTGTCTGTCCTAACAACATCCCCAGCCTGCCCAGCTGTCCCCACTCTGCCCGTTCATGTCACGTCTGTCAGTCTCTCTCTCAGATGTCCACTGGGGCATCAGGAAGAACAAAGAGTCTGTCTGTGTGTCTGTCCTGTCAGGTCAGCAGGTTGTTGGGGAGTCTGCAGGCCAGGCTGGCCGAGGCTTCTTTTTTTCAGGGCAAACTGCTATTGGGATGCTTTCAAGGTCAAATGTCACCTGGAGCCGGGTAGTCAGGGGCACAGGTTTATCTGAAGTGGTCTGTGGTCAACAGGTAAGAAAAGACAGCTGGACCCCAGGCCAGTCCCTTCTGGAGAGGTCACTGAAGGCTCCACAGCCCAGGGAAAAGGTCACGTGCACGCTGCGAAGTGGGGGTTCTAAACGGCGGAGAAGAGACAGGGACTTCGAGCCCAGACGGTGCGGCTCCTGCTCTTAGGCTCACAAAGCTTTAACTTGCAGCGAGGCTGTAGCTGGTCCTCCTGGGGGAAGGGAAGAAGCCCAAGAGGATGAGGGAGGGTGGGGTCTGCCCTGCCAGGCCCCGTGGAGGTGTCAGTGGCTGTTCTTGTCTTCCTAGCAACTCCTCCCCTCACACACACCCAACCCTGCGTGAACAAAGCCACAAGCCTGTTTCCCCAGGTTCCATCAAGCAGTTGTGTGTCACTCCCTGAGTGTTGCATGTGAGGTCAGCATTACTTGGCTGGAGTCTTGAGACCAGCCATGCTGAGGGATGAGGGATGGATGATGATGTCACTTTCTGTCTCCCCTGTGTGGTCCTCTGTGTGTACATGTGAGTGCATGAGCATCTGCAAAGATGTGGACAGGTGCTCGTGAAAGTGTGCGGGACCATGTTGATACTGCAGCACCTGCTTGGCCTCTGGCACTGTGCTAGGCTCTTAGGACATAAAAATGAATAAACACAAAGATATGGCCTCAAGGTCCCCACAGTCTACGGGGAAAGCCGGACAGTGAGCAGATCCGACCCTGCAGTGGAACCAGTGCTCTGGGAGGGGGAAGGGCAAGGCTCAGAGAGCTCTCAGCACAGCCTGTCGGGGGAGGAGTGGAAGATAAGATGATCGATCCACCCCCGGGTTTCGGCTCCCAGACGGGAGGGTGGTGGAGCTGACTGGGACAAGACCATGAATTCCTTTGGGGGATCATTAAGACTGACTGCCGTGGCTGTGGGACGTCAGGTGGCGATATCCAAATGAGAGCCAGGGGTGTGGATCTGGAACTTGAAGGCAGTATGGGAGTGGGGGTAGGGTTGGCAGGAGGACAGCTATAGGAGTCAGCAAGCACAAGAGGTGCTCGGGATCAAGCAAGTGGAAGAGGTGCCCGGGATTATGGGGAGCAAAAGGAACAGGGGTGAACAAGGGAGCCCTCCCATACCACCATCCTACTGGTTATCAAGGGAGACTGAGCAGCAGAAGAAAATGTAGATGGCGTCACTGAAGCTAAGGCAGAGTCTCCAAAGGCAGGATTGTTCAGTGGTGTAAGCACTGCCAGGAGATCTGTGGACTGGTTGGTCTCACGTCGGCACACTTCTGTGTACCTCCGGGGGTGCTGGTGGCTGTCTGTGTGTACCCGTGTGCATGGGGTGCCCACCTTCGAAGGCTCAGCTGGTGAGAGGAGTCCTGGCTTGGCACCTTTGGACCGGGGCCGACCATGAGGATGCAAAGACCGGTGAGGATCATGCAGGTGGGCACAGCACCGATGAGGACCTTGAGGGTCACCACCACCTGCTCTGCTTGCTTGCAGGCTCCTGCCTCATACCCCGCAAACCTGGAGAAACACCATCCCATCATCCAGCCCAGACCCTCCCGAGCCTGGCTCCCTGGGGGAGGGGTCCCAGATCCCCCACCTCCACACTCCCCTGAAACTTGGATTCATTTCCTGGCCAGATCAGCCTAGCCAAGGTGGAAGGGAGTGTTGAGGGAATGGGCTGGTCAGGGAGGAGTTCAGAGAGAAGCGAGAATGTGGGGGGCTGAGGCTTCAGGAGGGCTATGGCCCTCAAGAAAGGCCCCTTTCAGTCACACTCCCAGAGCCAGCTGAGGAGGTGTCTGCCTCACACTTTCCAAAGAGCAGAGCTCGGTCCCGGTCCCCGGGCTGGCTGGGGTGGGGGACTCTGCCCTCCTCCCACCCAGCTGGTCTTTTGTGCCCCCGCCACAGCCCAGCTCGGACTCACTCAAGACTGAGCGTGGAGATGCCCAGGGCCCCTGCGCCCGAGAGCTTAGTGAAGAAGACGTAGGACGAGTAGAAGATGGTCTCTATGCCGGGGCCGTGGTGGTGCTGCAGCTGGAAATCATCCACCACGTCTGGGAGCATGGACCTGGGGGAGGGGCTGCAGAGTTACCCCCTGACTCCCCTGGACAGCCACCAGCCTGCAAGCTCTTTGGGGGAAGAGACCAAGTCAGGGTCATCCCTGAGTCCTCACTACCCAGGGCCAGGACGGGCCCACAGAGAGCCAGGCACTGTGTGTTTGTATTCCACCCGCACCTCTACACCCCAACCCCGGCTGCCCACCATGCCTGCTGCTGGTGCTCTTTTAGGAGGGCTCCCAGGACGGAGCGGGTGGCCTCCGTCCCTGCCAGTGGGAGAGCAGCTCCCCAGCACAGGCTGGGCACGAGGGGCCCGGGGCACCAGGTTGACATGAAGGAGGGCAGACGCATCAGGAAGGACATGAAGCTCCCAGGTTCCCTTCCCCTCGAGCAGCCTACCAGGGTAGCAGCAAGGACAGAGCAATGCTCACGCCAGACACAAAGGCCACGACGTATGCCACGGGGGCTGTGGGCACAGCAGCCAACAGGATTGCAAAAGGCACCATCACCTGGGGAGACAGACAAAGATCGACTGGCCGGCCCCCAGGAGGCTTCCGGCTCCAAGGTCAGCCTCCCCCAACCCAACTCCAACCTTGCTTCCTGCATCACTCACACAGATCCCGAAGGCCGACATCCTCTTCCCAAATCGCTGCAGAACCCACTCCCACAGCGGGGTGCTCAGTACAGCTGAGACCTGTGAACAGACAGAACCATCACAGCCCGGCCCAGGCCCAGCCGGCCAAGCGGCCGGTGCCTCTGCCCAGGTTCTCACAGCCCTGGCTTGTAGGGGGACTGCCCGGCCTCCATGTTGCCTCCTGGTTGGAACCAGCGGCTACGAACTTTATGACCCTGGCCCCAGTTCCTCTGCCGGAATATAGGTCCAGAATGTTGCCCCCCAGAACTCTGGCCACACATGTCATGTCAGGGACCACACGTGTCACCCAGGTCTCCTCACCAGGATGGTTAGCACCAGGCTCTGGACGTGGTCATGTAGCTGGGAGGCGTGTGTACAGAACAGGACCAGGTAGCTCTGCTCCACCTGAGGAGGGTGACAGGAGGTGAGTGCAGGGAACGGCAGGACTTCAGAAGGCAAGAGCAAGGCCTATGCCTCAATCCCGGCCTCCCTTTGGGGACCTTGAACCCTGGTTGCTGCCGCCATCGTGCAGTCCCCGCCCCTACAAAGGTTGCTTATCCCTGACACAGGCATAAACACCATTCCTAGTCTACCGCCCCCAAGCACAGCTAAGATTGGGTGCACTTCACCATCCAGACAGTGTTCCTGGTGTCTGGGCGCTGACCCTCCTCATTCCCAGGAGCTCTATCTAGATCTCTCTCCTCCCAGCACCACCCTCTCTGGACCACACGCCAGCTGCTGCTCTCTCCCTATTACCACTCAAGCCTAACTGTGAGGCAGTGGACGAGAAGCTGAACCTGAACCCACGCAAGCTCAGTGTGGCTGGAACCAAGCCAGGGGGATGCGCCTGGCCAGAGGTACCTGGACGGCTGCTGAGATGAACAGGAAGGAGATCACCAGCTTCAGGTAGGGCGGGTGCCGGACCGTGAGGCCCAGCCCAGCCAGGAAGCTCATGCCCTGGCTGGAGGCTGGGGCAGAGGGGTCTGCAACACAGGAAGGTGACATCTCGACTGGGCAGAGTTCCAAACCAAAACCCAGGCCCACGAGCAGCCCTGCCCCCAGCTTCTGCCTGCACCTCTGTACCTGGCCGCTCCTTCACCCCCAAGCAGAGCAAACCACCACACACGGGGTAAGTCACAGCAACCGCGGCGGCTGCAATGGAGTAGAGACACGTCTGTGGAACAGGACAGAACTGGGGTGGGGTGATGTCTCCCACCCACGGAGGGGAGGACACCCAGGGGCAGGGCGCCTCCCAATGGGAGCAGAGGGACCCTCAGCCCAAGTCCAAGAATACTGGGTACTCCTCCCAGTGAGCCCAGTAGGAGGGGGAGAGCTAAGGGCCAGGATGGACCTTCTGCTGACCCTGTGCCTCCTGCATGCAGCCATGCACCAGGGTCTGAGGATCTGAGTCCTCTCTCTCTCTGTCTCTCTCTCCCTCCCTCTCTCTCTCCCCCTCTCGTTTTAAAACAAGCATTCATTGTTGCTGATTCTGTATGCCAGACCCTGATACGTGACCCTGAGCATCCACAGTGAGGAGCTTGGAGTGTGGGAAGAAGACAGATCCATGAGCACAAGTTACAGTGCGATGCGGGCTGACCCAGATA